AGGAGCAGGTTGTTCAGTTTCCATGTAGTTGAGCGGTTTTGATTGAGTTTCTTAGTCCTGAGTTCTAGTTTAATTGCACTGTGGTCTCAGAGACGGTTCGTTATAATTTCTGTTCTTTTACATTTGCTGAAGAATGCTTTACTTCCAACTATGTGGTCAATTTTGGAATAAGTGTGATGTCATGCTGAGAAGAATGTATATTCTGTTGATTTGGGGTGGAGAGTTCTGTAGATCTCTATTAGGTCCGCTTGTTGCAGAGTTGAGTTCAATTCCTGGATATCCTTATTAACTTTGTCTCGTTGATCTGTCTAATGCTGACAGTGGGGTGTTAAAGTATCCTATTATTATTGTATGGGAGTCTAAGTCTCTTTGTAAGTCTCTAAGGACTTGCTTTATGAATCTGGGTGCTCCTGTATTGGGTGCATATATATTTAGGTTAGCTCCTCCTGATGAATTGACCCCTTTACCATTATGTAATGACCTTGTCTCTTTTGATCTCTGATGGTTTAAAGTCTGTTTTATCAGAGACATTTTACTCTTTTATTTTTTAAAAAAGAGATGAGATGTCACTATGTTGCCCAGGCTGGTCTCAAACTCTTGGATTCAAGTTATCCTCCTGTCTTAGCCTCCCAAAGTGCTGGGATTACAAGTGTGAGCCACTGTGCCTGGCCCAACTATGAACATTTTAATTGATAAATTAGAAAATGTTCAAAACACTTAAAATTAGGTAGTGATGCCAACAGCCTGCCTCACCCATGCCAGGAGCCTTACCATGTAAAGCATGGTCCCAAGCTTTTTTGGCATCAGGGACTGGTTTTGTAGAAGGCTATTTTTCCATGGACCAAGGGGTGGTGGGGATGATTTCAGAATGAAACTTCCACCTCAGATCATCAGGCATTAGATTCTCATAAGGACCATGCAACCTAGACCTCTCTCCTGCACAGTTCACAACAGGGCTCACATTCCTATGGGAATCTAATACCACTGCTGATCACACAGGAGGCAGAGCTCAGGTGGTAACGCTCGCTTGCCACTCACCTCCTGCTGTACGACCCAGTTCCTAACAGGCCACAGATCAGTACCAGTCTGCAGCCTGAGGGTTGGGAACCCCAGATGTAAGGCACCCCTTTGTGAGAAGACAAGCTCTGGGCCATTAATTCCTGCAGCCAGCTGCTCTGTGCACATGGGGTGAGGGGCAGGAGGGAGTCAGGAAGGAGACCTCTGGTCCCCGGTACAGCTATTCACACAATGGCCACTGGTCGATCTCCCCGGTCCCTGCCACGGCCCCTCTGCTCTCTGCACCTGCTGGCCTCAATGTGAAGCCTCTCTGAGAAACAGCTCCTCCCTCCCCAGCCACCTTCTGTGTACAGTTCAACTTCTATCTCCTTAGATCTGCTTCCCCATCAGTCAAGCCACCTCTCCTATTTCAAAAATTACTCAACACTTTTTGTTTTTGGCCTGTTATAGATTTTTTGAAGTTCAGTGATATCTGGGAAGGACAGATAAAAGTGAGCATTCAGTTTGCATCTCAAGTCATGACATTTGCCTTGTAAACGACCTCTGCTTCCATTTCACTGGAGGAAGCTGGCCAGGTGAAGTCTTCTTCCCCATAGGTGGCTGTGACATCAGGTGAGCTGCTCAGTCTCTTCTGACTTAATTCCTGTCCACATGACGAGGTCCTGGATGAGATTAGTATCCATCAAACTTGTTCCTGTAATATATCCCTTCTATCAGGTAAAACTGACAGCAGGATTCCAGTATATAAAACAAGCTAAACTGGTATTTTCTTTTTCAGAATACATACTTAAGTGCTGAAGAGTAACTAAAACATTTTTTAATCAGAGAAAAAGGCCCTGGCCAGGGGCAGTGGCTCACGCCTGTAATCCCAGCACTTTGGGAGGCCGAGATGGGCGGATCACGAGGTCAAGAGACCAAGACCATCCTGACCAATATGGTGACACCCCATCTCTACTAAAAATACAAAAATTAGCTGAGTGTGGTGGCATGTGCCTGTAGTCCCAACTACTCAGGAGGCTGAGGCAGGAGAATCCCTTGAACCCGGGAGGTGGAGGTTGCAGTGAGCCGAGATTGCATCACTGTACTCCAGCCTGGCAACAGCAAGACTCCGTCTCAAAAAAAAAAAAAAAGAAGGTCCTGAGGAGAGGAGAGAATGTGATGGGGTCTTTGGAGCTCACAGCTCCCATCTTCCCCTCTAAGTGGCCCATGGTGGCAGTGCTGGCTGCCCCAAGAGGAAGTGGGCAAATTGCAGAGGCACCAAGGAGCTTCCAAGGAAAGGCTGAGGCCTGGCCCTTCCCAGCGGGGGTGCAATGGTCTGGAAACTCATCAGATGGATCAATGGTCATGGTTTCTGGTGGCAGACACAGCTCGGAGGGACGTGAAAGTGTTTGGATGAGCAACTGTATTGCAACTATGGGATGGGCTGGAGGATAGGCCCAGCAGGTGACCCAGGATGGAACCCCTCTGGAAGTGCCTGGGTGGGGCCGGGTCAGCTGCAGCTGCAGGTAAGCATGCAGGGGACCCCAGAGGAGTGGCTGTCAATGACATCAATGTGGAGACAGGTCTGTGGCCTAAGGGCGGAGTGAATCCCCAGGGTGTCATGGGACAGGAGGGAAGATAAGGTTTTTCTGCTAAGATGGGCGGGTCAGACCTCAATGTCTGAAGGATTTGACTGGAATTGTGCTTAGGATCAACGAAAAGGGAGGGGAAGGTCACAGTATTTGAGGATAAACTAATTTTTACCTTATTCTAGGATCAAAGTGACTATCAATGCTTTAAAATACAGTATATAAAGTGTTAGAAAAGGTACATTAGTTTTTTCTTTTAAAGCATACTAGTTTTTATAGTATATAAATAGTTGTGGAATCTAGGTAGTGGGTTTATGAGTGTTCACGGTAATTTTTTTCAGCTTTTCTGTATGCTTTAAATTTTTCAGGACAAAATACCTAGAAGTGGTCAAATAACATTTTATTTTGTAGTCGAGCATTTGAGGAACCCCTGGACGATTGTTGGGAAGCCTTCGGGTTAATGCAGCATGAAAACCACTGGGCCTCTTCTGAGCCCTCTGAGCTTGAAAATCTCTAACTTCCTAGGGGCTCCTCAGGCTCAGGCCAGGCCTGGAGCTGATCTGTTTGAGAAGCTGGTGTTTTTAGATGACTGTCATCTACAACCTCAAAGCCTCAAAAGCGGTTTCCATCAGTGGGGCCGCATCTGTACTCTGAGTTAGTTTTATCATAAAAATAGGTCATTTGCAGTTGCCTCTTAAAGGTGAAAACAGATGCAAAATATATTCTAAAAAAAATCAAACAGACTTTCAAAAACCACACACAGTGCCAAGTAGTCAGTGGATTTGTCGGCACCCTGCCTGAGAACAGCACTTTAATAAAGGCCCAGCTGCAAGGGTGCAGAATACCAGAGCTGGAAGCATTGCTGCCCTTTCTTTGTTCTGCCTTTCAGGGCAGCCGTCCTCGAATATGGGGTGGGCAGAAGTGGTGTGCTTACTGCCAGCACTGCCTGCTACAAGGAAAAGAACTGTATGGCCTACTAATGCGGGGGAGTGCTGGATTAAACAGCATGAAGATGCTTCTCAGACTGTTCAATACACTGGTGTGCACTGCCAGTCTCCCAGGGATGGACACAATTGTGGTCCCCAAAAGTTCTACAGAAGACTTTTAGGGGAGGGACCACACTCTAGGACTCATGCTTTAAGAAGGCAAAAATCAACCAAACACTGTGGCTCATGCCTGTAATCCCACAGATTTGGGAAGAGGGAGGATTGCTTGAGCCTAGAGGTTTGAGGCTGCAGTGAGCTATGATTGAACCACTGCATGCCAGGCTGGGCGACAGAACAAGATCCTGTCTCTAAAAAACAAACAAAAAAAGGAAGCAAAATGGAAAATGCTTCTTTGCGAACATTATGTCAATTAGTGATGTATCTAAAATACAGCTTGAGAGGCTGGGGTAGGAGAATCACTTGAGGCCAGCAGTTTGAGGCCAGCCTGGGCAACATAGTGAGACTCAATCTCTAAAACAAAAAATAAAAAATAAATTATTAAAATGCAGTTTAACTGTAGCAGCTACACCCTTCGGTAGCATCTGTGAGAGAAGTGTTATTTCTGACCAAGCAGAGCTGTGTTTTAAAATGAAGGCTCCTCCAACCTGTGAAAAACAGTCCTAGCTCAAGGTTAACTAACAATATCAACAGAACATTACTTTAGTGATGCTTCTGTCTTCCTACCCACTGGGGACAACTGTCTCCATAGCTTGTATCTTACATTCTCAAAACATCTAGTTTCTGGTTCCCCTGAGACCAGGCGCATCCTCCACCCACCCCACCCCACCCACTGAACCAAGGATCTGCTGTACACCCTTCCTCATTAGAAACTTCATCTCCACCCTCCTTCCACTCCCCCAAAAAACAATCAAAGCACATGCCCAAATTTATTTTTATTTTGCACACATAGGAAACAGTATCCTATCAAAAGAGAACAAAAAAGAGAAATGAGCCAATTGTCGCAGAGGAAAAGCATGCACAGATCTGCTTCAAGTTTACTCTGAACCACGGACGCTCCAGGAATTCCACACACCAGGAGCTGTCTCACTCCAGGAGGTGGGTACAACCCACCATCTACACAATGGAAACAAGAATGGCCAGGAAATGTCACCGAAGTGGGACTTCCATAGGCAGGATCAGTGTTCACAGTAGCACAATTCTAATCAAGTTCAAGGGAAAACAAAATCTGTCTCACACAAACATGGGAATACAAAATTGTTGAGCCCTAACCATCACTGTCTCTTGACATCATTTGCTATCAAAAAGATAAATGAATTTAGTCACGGACCTTTGGGTGCCTATTGGGCTGTACCCAATTCCAGAGGCAGCTCTTAGTGTGCTTTTTCATTACAAAAAATAAAGGGAGAAACCAACATTAAAAATGCAAAACAAACGACCTGGAGAAAGAGGAGTGTTTGGACCCACGTAGTTGTCTTGATTGTAAACAGTGAATATTGTGCTTTGTTGTCTCATTTAGATGCAGGCCTGCAGCATGGGAGGTACCACCCTGGCAGTCAGCAGTCACACCAGGGTGGTCAGAGACACTGGTGGCAGCATCTGTGCTTGCAACTGCATTCCCAGGGTGTCTGTTTTGTTCCCAAGTGTTTCCCACAAAATTCCCCAGAAGGTTCTCCAATTCAATGTCCTCAGAGTGAAAAGCACGGACACCAAACCACTCCGCATCCACTTCCGTGAGATGTCTTGATGCTCCAGTTCAATGAGTAACAATTTCTCAAGAGGCTCTGATTAGTTCATTAAAAAATAAGCACCCCCACCTCATTCCCCGTGATACAGCACATCTAGTAATCTAGGCGCCTTGGCTAAGCTGCATAGCTCTTAGCACACAGGACAGGTCAGGGTTCACACATCAACACTATATGCGGCAGAACAGAGCTAGCTCCCTGCTAGCCATCAACTACTCAGGAGACTATCTGTGAGATCCTGGGGTGAGCTGTGATTCCTATCCAGGAATGTGCATTTCCAACCACATCTTCTTCATTCTAATTATAACAACATGGTCAGAGCAGTCATGTCTTTTCCCAGCAAGCTCTTCCTCCTTGGAGCCCAGCACATACCCGCTTAGACCCAATACAACCTCACAGAGAGACGCCTCAGCAGGTCTCTCTCCCTGGAAGGGTCCAAGTGACTTCCCAGCCAGATGTGCCCCCTGCTTTGAAAGCGCCCTTCAGAACCCACCACTGGAGCTGCCTGAGGAAAGGAGACTCCCGGGCCTGAGAATGCCCTGGAGAGGCGGTGATGTCCACTGGAATCAGATCAGACTGGAAAACACACACCCAGTCTGATCTCAAAGGGCAGGATGCTCTACATACACTTCCATAAACACACTGAAAGAAAGGGTAACCAGTCCTTTCTTCAAATCAGACCAAGAGCTCACAAAATGCAATGTCTTCGTTTAGGGCAGGAAGTGATTTCCCATGAATTTAAATAACTTTGCTTAGTGGACGTCAGATCACTGTCAGGCCTCCAAGGCGAGCCTGATTCTAGGCCCCATCGTGCGGTGAGAGCCGCACGCGCTACCCTTCCCTGGCGGTACAGGAGAAGTCTATCTTTAGGATATGAACAGAGACAGAAACATGACAAGGGGCTTGCTCTCTTCCTGAATGTCTCTCCAACAGCTTCTGGAAGAGGAAGGCTGACGAGAGGACAGGCTGGAGCAGACGACCTGCTGGGTTCAGCTCAGCCGGCTGCTGCTTCGTTGGCTGAGCTGCCCGGCGTGGGGCTTCCTATTAATACCCGGCAGAAGGATGCTTGCCTGGGATGCTTGGTCTGGCCCCTCCACATGCCACCTGCACCTCCAGCACTGCCTTCTTCCTCTCAGTCTCTCTCCTGAAGATCTGGTCACGCCATCATAAGGACATCAGCCCTCATGGACTATCACCACACTACCACCTGAGAGCACAGACTGCGTCAGAAACAGAAGCAACAGAGGAGACACGGTGTGAGTTCATATATTGTCCTCCATGGAAAACCTGAAAGAGAGCTGTGCTTGCCGTGAGGATATCAGAGGAACTGCCCTTAGCAGCCCATGAGACCATTCCTGGAAGTGAACATCGACGGGGACAGAAAGGCCAGGGAAAGGCCCTCTCCTGCCTCTCCTCTTGCACGTGGGCGCCCCGCTACTTGGCCTTCACTACCTGTTCGTACGGGGGCGGAGGCGTGTTGCAGTAGGCTGGAGGGGGTGGGCAGGCCACACTCCCCTGGGGTGAGTTGGGTGGGACCTGGAAAGCCATTGCCATGGAATTGCCGACAGGGTTCATCCCCGGTCCTCCTGGGTCAGTGTAATAGGGCGGCCCCGGCTGCTGGGCTCCTGAAAGACAGACGAACATAGGTGAGCACAGAAGGGAAAGCCCCATCACACCCCGAATATGTGCAGGCTGCAGGGCCAGCAGACCACGCCCCGTCGTTCACTCAGTGACAGTGTATGAAGGACCCAACATGCCTGGTAAGGGGGCACCTGGGGTGTGGTGACAAGCCCTCTCACGGCTTTGATTCTAGTGGACTACACTCCACGCTACCAGTTCACACATTAGGGTGGAGGGAACTGGGCCACAGTAAGGTAAGGCCGTCTGCGGTGAACTATGGGAAGAGCTGCAAAGACCACCCAGGCTTCGCGACTCAGCCTGGCATGATCACAGCAGCTCCACAACACCTCTGGGCACGCCGTTGCCTGGTGACCATTTCTAAAGTAAGGTCTCCATTCTCCCCTGCTGGGCTAGTGTGTCCTCAGGGCGGGAGTTACGCACAGGCAGGGAGGCCGTGCACCTGGGCACACATAGCCGGGCTGCAGCTGATGGACGCTCCACGGGTCAGGAGTGGAGCCGCAGGCTGACTCCCTAGTGACAAGCTGAGGAGCAGGGCATGGGGGCACCATGGAAGGTGACAGGAGGGCACAGGCTGGACACCCGACCCCAAATCTAGCCCTCACTCTGAGGTGCTGTTTTCGGTCTGGTTACTGTGAGCGTGCAGATTAACACTATAGAATTCTGCATATGTAAATAAAGTATCAGGAGAAACCGTGGAAGTGCTGGGTGTTCCCTGGGTAAAGCTGATTTTGTGACGGGACTCAGGTATATTTGAAGTGAGGCTTCATTTAGCTCAGGGAGACACTCGAGTGTCAAAGAAGCTGCCCCTGTGTGAATATTGTGCAGGGTTTTTTTTTTTTTTTTTTGCAGTTCTCCCCGACACAGTGTGATACAGTTCTGACTCTAAAAACATGCCCATCAAGGTACACAAGATGTCCCAAACCTCCAAAGCCCACATAAGTCAGACCATGGGAATCTGCGCATGTGCGGAAGGAGAGCATGTAGAACAGAAGCACGGGCCAGGCCTGCACTGTCTCTCACCGAGCACTCTCTCCTGCCAGGAGGGCACTCGGCACAGACACCACCTGTGTGAGCCGCCGCCTCGCCCTGCACCTGTGCCGTCCCACAGACACCACCTGAGTGAGATGCCGTGTGGTCCCACAGATGCCACCTGCGCTGCTCTGATGCATCTCGCCCACCGCCTTGGGTGGTTCTATTTACAAGTCGATCTACTGCCATTACCATGAGTTTCCCAAGGGCAGAGATTATGTTTTATTTAGATTGGATCCTGCTATATGTTATACAATTAAAAAGCCGAGGATTTTTAAAAAGAGGGCATTGCAATAGTCTAGGCAAGACATGATGAAGGCTTCTGAATATTAGAGAAAAAATGGAGAGGAGAGAATGAGGCGCTGAGGCTGTCAGCAATGAGTGGCCTGGGACTGACTCGATGGGGAGCACATGGGGAGGGAGACAAGGGCTGAGAACAAAAGGCCCTAGGTTCTGGTCTCAATAAAGGCCCCCAAAAGGCAGGGCAATACCGGAGTACAGGGGCTCTGCAAGAGTGAGTGCCTTACCAAGGTCACACTACTGCTACAGCAGCACCAGGACAAGGGTGGGCAGATGAAAAAGTCCGTGCTGGGCTGGAGAGGGCGGAAGTAGCTCTGGAGCCTCCTGTGGGAAGGTGGTGATGGAAACGTGGGCGTGCCCAGGAGAAGGCTGCAGGAAGGAGCAGCACTGAGGCCAGGAGAGGAGCATGAAGCATCTAAGGCTGATGAGAAGGACACGTAGGCAATGGGAAGACGTGGCAGGAGGTGGCTCGCCAGGAGCCAGGGCAGCAAGGGGTGGGAGAATTTTCAGGAAAAAGTGATGTCCTCTCCCCAGCTGAAGAGAGATCAAAATAAGCATGGCACATTTCCAGTGGCTGTGGCCCTGGGGTTACCGTGCTCTTTCTCTGCAGTTTCACACCATGATAGACACAGGTCCCTGCCGCAGTAGGGAGAAAACAGTCCAGGGTGGGGGTGAAGACTGTAGGAGGGGACAGGTAGCAGGTGGAAGTCACGCAGGGCAAGGAAAGGTGCCTTGTAAGGATGGAAACGCTTGCATATATGGGCAGGGGTGGGGAGAGACACACAGGACAGAGAGGACTTTTGGGGAGAACACAGCTCGGCGAGGGCAGGGGCCTCTGGTGAAGCACTTGGAGCCCACTAGCTGGGAGCTGGTACACAGGAAGGCACCCGAGACAGTGGGCTGAGCCATGTGCAGTGCTACCCTGAAAAGCACAGCAAGGGACTTGGCCACCACGGGTTTGGCAGAGGGGTGGGTGAACATGGCCGGCAGCCTCCACTACCAGGGAAAGCAGGTCCAGGTGATTCATTTGCTGACAGGCATGTGGGAAACGGCAACAGGAGAACTAACCAGGGAGATTCCAAAAGCCTCAAGGACAAAGGGAGCAATGTGTGATGGTCACGGATGGGAGCCAAAATAGTGACAAGGAGCGACAGGCCCACTGGTGCAGGATTTGATGTGGTGGAGACAATCTGCACAGAGGTGTCAGCCAGGAGCAAGGAGACTCCACCACACCTCCCTTCCCTACACGGGGTGTGCCCTGGGAGGAGCCCTTCAGTTCTGGTTTGTGGTTGATGGTTTGGTTAAAGAAAATACACAAAACATTCTAGGAAGAGGCTGGGGTTGCAGGAAGACTTTCTCCAGAAGATGGGGTAGAAAGGGTAAGAAGAGGTGAGTAAAACCATGGCTGCCCCTCATGTCGCCAGTGTCCATCAGGCCAGCCTGTGCCGTGTGCGCACGGTGGGGAATGGCACAGGATGGGGATTGGGTGGGAGAACAGAGGCTCCGCAAGAGTGAGTGCCTCACCAAGGCCACACTACTGCTACAGCAGCACCAGGACTTGAAACCAGTAGTGAGTTAGACAGTCAGACTCTTCCTACGATGACAGGCGTCTCTCGAAACAGGATGGTGAAGTGGAGAAAGAAGTTCAGGCAAGGGTGGGATGGGAGAGCCACAGAAGACTGGGGGCATCACGGGCCCCTGTGTGGAGCACTGTCTAAGAATTAAAGGCCGCCACAGCCAGCCTCCCAGCCGGGCTGCACTAGTACCCTCGGCATGCCATCTGTCTCCAGACAATGCTGGAGTCGTTTTACTCTGAATGCCATCATCTCTTCCTCACTGGGAGTCTTGGCATGGTTTGAAAGGGAGCTCTAGGCTCAGCAAAGACTGGGAGGATATGCTGTGATGTTAACTGACAACCATCCCTTCTCAGTGAGCTGGCCCAGCCCCGCGGGTGCCAGGGGGTTGGCCAGGCAGCCTGTATTCTTAGCAGGACCTGCCACCTCTCCAGCCCAGCTGACTGGCCAGTAGCGTGTCAGGGGGGCTGGGCCAATCTTCCCTGCGGATGCAGGAAAGTCCAGCAGGCCGCAGAGGGAAGGGTAGAAACGTAGGGAGAGGGAGAGGCGGCTGACACAGCGTGTGGCCCAGGAGGGACAGAGGCCACGGGCCCAGGGGCCTGACTCCTGACAGCGCTCCAGTTCCGCCAGGATCCCCGCATCATTTTAGTCAGCCCCTCCCAACCCAGGGCACATGGGTCTCTGGTCTCACCTCTCCTCCTCTCCAGCCACGCCCTGGCTTCCCTGCTCTGTCCCCTCTGGCCCAGCTGCCCCTCCAGCCATGGGCAGGGGCCTCAACACAGAGCAGCAGGGACAGAGCTCGTTCCTGCCACCCAAGCTGTGGCAGGCTTGGCCCTACACTCCTCGCCACCCATCACTCATGGGAGGGTGAGCTCTCCAGAGGGACAGGGCCTGCTATGAGGGGCTCCTGCCCTATTCTCCTTCTCCAGCAGTAATCACACCGCCTGGATCCAGTCTGCCCTCCCTGGGCCCTCACTAGATAACATATCCCGGGCTTTCATCACGCACACCATGTCTCCTGGAATGCCTGTGACCACCTCATGCCAGGCTCCTCCCAGCCTCTGATCTGGCTAATTCCCATGTATCTGTTAGTCTCAGCTCAGAATCACCAGGCAGCCCCCTCTTGCTGCCTGTCACTGCCTTCTCAGCTGAGCAGGCACCCCTGTCCTCTGGCACCCAGAACAAGGCACGCCTGTGAGCATGAAGCAATTGCCCAGTATGGTATGATTTCCTGAGCCTTCTGAACACGAGGACAGAGCATCACTCATCCTGGTGCCCTGAGAGCCCAGAATGGCACCTTGCATGTGGCAGACATTCCATAAATACATGGGAGGAATGACTGATGGGACGAGTGACGACTTGGATCTGGGTTTTGGTGCTGCCAGATTGTGCTGGGTGTGCATGGGTTTCCTGAGACACACCTGTTTCTGACATGACAGGAGTGACTGGCTGCCCCACTCAGCAAGCCTGTGCCAAGCCCGTGGCTCCTGTTGAGGGGAGGAGCCCAACCCCCCGCTGCAGGTGAGGGAGGGGCGGGAGTGTGGTCTTTGTAGCAGAGAGGCGGCCAGGCTATGTTTGCAATGTGGCCACTTACGCTGCAGAACCAGAAACGCCAGCACCTGCATCCAATCCAGTGGGTATATTCATGTTCATAGCTGCAGTGATGGATCCTGCCAGCAATTGGTGGGATGGGATTGAAATATTTGAACACGGAGACGGAGAGGTATTTGGAATATAAAAGAGAATGGATAGGAGGTGAATAAACTGTGTACTTGTCAAGAATATGAACCCTCAGGTGAAAAAACTGGTGACCACACTGGAGAGGCTGCAGTTGAGGTTAAAGGGCAGCAGGGCCGGAGGCCAAAGCCTCATGTGAGCAGCTGAGGGACCCTGGCCAGGTGGAGGCCGCGCTGACCCAGACAGCTGCTCAGCTTCTGCTCATTTGGCATCATTTTAGTCAGCCCCTCCCAACCCAGGGCACATGGGGCACAGCATCCTCGCAGGACGCTGGCCATGCTTACCATTCAGGCTCTCACAGAGAAAAGCAACCGAGAGAAGGCAGACCCAGTTCTCATAGAGGC